TATCGTCAAAAGTTAAAAAATGTGAATATCGACCTCTTTCAATTTTTAATTAAAAATAATAAAACAATAATTTTTTTTGCCTTTTCTAATGTTTTAATGGCTTTATTAGACCTAATTTAGTATGTATACCAAGTTGTAAACAAATTTATTACTATTTGTGAAAGAAATGATCGTTTATATTTCAAAATTTTATTAAATTTGAGAAAATTTTTTTTTGGGTTTTTTGCTTTTATTATCAAAAATATTGGATTTAGAAAAAAATTTCTGAGAGAAAAAAGATATGTTTTTTTATCTTCTATAAAGTAGTGCTTCTGAAAAATCCGAATTTTGAGTTTCAATTTTTTCACCTTTTTGACGTGTTGACTGGCTTCAAAGCGACCGGCCGAGCGTACTGGTTGTTATTGTTTCCAGCCCCTCAATTACGCCCTAAGTGATAATGGCGCTTGCGATCTTTTTAGTGTGTATGGCAGAATACAACAAAAAACTTTACTTAAAGGAAGTGGATTTTTTTATTTTCCAAACTAGGAAAAAATTTTAAAACTAAGTAGTGTATAATATAGAAAAGACTTCTGGAACAAGAATACAAAATTATAAAAAAAATGGTCTAGTTCAGGTTTTTTTAAAAATGAAGTTTTTACCGAACCAACGGCTTCTGGAAATTCCGTCCGATCTTTCTAACCAGAGTTTAATCAGTAAGGGAAGAATTATTATCTTCTTTGGCCTCTTTTTTGCATTCGAGTTAAACAACAGTTGAATGGTAAGAAGATGATACAGTTTAACGGTTAATACCTTGTGCTCTATTATTATTTGGAACACTTTGGTTGATTTCTTCGAAAAATAATCGAGATGAGGCACCTTGTTTTGAGGCAAAGGCAATAATTTGCATGAAAGGTTGTTTTATGTTGTTCATTTCAAGGTGAAGGTTACTTGAAATTCTCGCATTGCAAAGTACTCGTCGTTCTCTTTCTCTTTTTTTCACTCTCTTCTTATTGCCGGAACATGTGTGTACTTCTATTTAATATGCTTCTACTTTCTTCTAGTCGTAATGTGCAGCTCTTCACATTCCACAAATTTCTTTTTTCTGAATTTATAATACCTATGTTTTTATTTTCATAAATGAATAGACATTATAAAATAGAATCGAAATCTTATATCACATTTTGTATACTAAATTTTCGCTATTTGTTACGGTTTCTGGTTTTTCTCATCATAAAATTGGCACTAGGTTCAAAAGCATTTTTCAGCAAAACGAGTTTTATTGATGAATAAGAGAAGAACGAACAGTTCGTGTTTTGCGTCATTATATCGGATGGGTTACGTGTAACGATGACATTCAAACTGCAAGACAAAAAAAAAGTGGACAGGCACACCGACTAAGGAAGAATTGAAACGTGGCGAATGGTTTTTTAGTTTAGCTTCATGGCGTAGTCGTTTTGGAATTCGGTTTACAATAGGATCGAACCGGCTTCAATGACACCGACTTCACAAATAATATATTATATATCTTACAGTTTAAACTTATATATATATATATATATGGTCCCTCAACTTCTTGTACAATCAATCCCGTCTCTTCATGCTCATAACGCGTTAAAAATATTTTTGTCATCCCATATATACCATCGTAATGTATATAGGTAGAAATAATAATATACTTATATTGAGAACAAAAAATAAAAGAAACGGGAAAATGTTGTTACAATTGGAGTGACAATTGCTTTTTGTGCGCGAAGAGAACAATGCGCTAAATTAATAGAAGCATATATTTCTCTTATTCATATATGTCTAGAGATATATATTCTTCTATCTTGAGATCAAGTGATGTTTCTATTACCAGAATAAAAGGAGCCTTTAATTATAGAATGATATTTAAATTACTGGCTCAGAGGTACAATTTCGTAATCTTTGAAATTGAACCATTTGTAAAATCTTGATCTTGTCTTAAATGTTTGTTTTGAGTTATATATTAAGTCGAATATCGGACATGACTCGCGATTGAGATACTAGCTGATACGAAGGATTTATTGTAAATTGATATGGACTAGCCTTTCGAAACCTGCTTCATCATTATGATTTGAAAAATCTGATATAACCGTGAAATATCGATTTCACTATAACATTATTTACTTACACTGCAAAAATTTCTTGGGTAATTATAATACCAAAAGGGACAAATATGCGAATTGTAAACTTACCTTTAATATGTTGTGACAACCATCATCACAGGTTAGTGTTTTCTACTTTATCTTCAAAAGCGTGCTTTTTTATTCAATTATTTATGTTCTTTTATACAATTTTTCTTTTGTTTCACACTTATCAAAATGATAATAATATTATTTAATTTTGAAGTATAGGTATAGTCAATCCACTTTTACTTTCAAAATTCACCGCCTGCAGAGTTTAACTCCGTTGTAGTGTAAATCTTCTGAAATGCCGAATATAGTTGAGTGGCTCATAAAACGTGCGGTAAGGTACATTTTGCAATTTCATGTGTAGTATCGCAAAAGTCAGCTCTTGGTGAAGAGAGTAGCGATAAACTATACCTGAAAGTTTGGAAGCAATATTCTTTATTCTGTATACTTATGGATCAAGAAAACCACTTGTCCAGTTGTATGTACATGTATATTTCATGGACTCTATAGGCCACACGAAGGAAAAAGCAAGCGAGAACGCCGTGAGCGAACGAAATGGTCAGAGATGTCCTCTTATGGTATCGTCTTCGTCGTCTTGGCTCCTCCCTGTCTCCAGGATGAAAAAAGACCATAGGCCAATTTCATGTATACTCTTCTGAGTATAAGACTAAGTACTCCCAACAGAAATAACTTTCAATTTCACAATTACAGATTGTCAAATAATTATTTTTCTAACATTTTGTTGTTATTCTTTCAGCTCACAAGTATAACACGCCGAATTTCCTGAAACAAGATCTTTCAAAATTGATTAAAATTAATTTTTCTAATATTTTAGTTTCCCACGTACGAAATGCCAGGACTGCCAAGACGTTATTCAAAGTTCACAGTTTATTATTTAGAAATGAAAAGTGTTATGTCTAAGGGAAGCTAAAAATAATTATTTTAAACAGAAAGATAATGAGTTAGGACGACTTCCAAATACAATGAACATCGAGAGCAAAAGGGAAAAAATAAAGTAAAAGGAACTGCAACGGAGAGTAGAAGGCACGCGGCGAAAAAGATCATCGTCCTTTTATAGAGACCTTCAATCCGTGGAACTTGTGAAGTCATTTGAAGAATGTTTCGCTCTGCAATTAATGTATGCTTGTAGAAAAGGAGTGGATTAGAAAGAACAGACATAATTATGCGAGTTGTGTGTACGACTCTTGCTGAACTAAGAGCAGCTAATTATTTATCAATGGCCTATTGAATTTTCAACTCAAGTAGGAAACAATATAACGTTTATCCCTTTCGTTTGCCAAACGTCGTCGCTTTTACGAGCATTTAATGTTCCATCAGGCGGTAAATTTATGATTTTCTTTCTTTTTTTAGATTCTATTGTTAGATAAAATTGAAGGTGGAGCACATGAGAAAAAATTAGATGATTTATAGAATAATATATTTAATCTTATACTTCCTTAATGCTGATGTAATCAAAATGTCATATGCCGGAAACTCGCAAAATAGTTTATTGTGCTTTAACTATATTATGTAGAAAATCTTTAAGGATTTCTTATTAATGCAGTCGGGTTAGTGCAATATCATACCTATTCGGAAAACAAAGCAAGATCGTATACCTCATAAAAAGTACTTCACTGTACTCATCATCATCACTGTACCACGTTTATATTATCTAGCGAACTGCTGTCGAATTTCTGTTAAAGGAACGTTGTATTTTTTTTCATTGTCTGCAACTAAAGATGTTCCTGGGGAAACACGAGCACCGTGACGATAGCTATATATTCTTTTCTCTAGTACGCGTGCATATAGTTTCTTTTGTTCCCATTGTTTTTCATAGTGAATATCTTTTTCTCGCATAGTGAGTTTCTCTTCCTGTCTCTCTCTTTAACACCTTCTCGCTCTCTTTCTCTCTATCACCAGTCCATAAAAAAACGTTGCACAGGGTGGTGAGGAACTTGATGATGACTCATCTGACAATTCTTTTTCCAACCCACGTAAACGAGTGCCGTCATAGGTAAACCAACATCGCCACCATAACCACAAAAGGGGTGCAATTCTCTAAAGATGACGCTTTATACTTAGAAGTGATTACTATGCATCTTTCTCGCTCGTTTTATTTTCAATTTAGATTAATCATGTCGACATATTAAAAAATTGAAAATATTTTAGTTTTAGGTCTAAACGCTTTTTGTATTTTTTTTTCTTTATACTTCAGGGATATTCCAGAGAAGCTTAAAAATTAATGTTGTCGATAATTTTTTTTTAATTTAACACAGTTTTTCTAAAACTAAATGTATTAAATGGATTTGTAACGTGTTGATACCCATAGTGGTATCAACTTGATCCCCATTATTTGGATCATTTTTAGAAATGATATACGAAAATTGAAATAATAAAATATTAATATTAACTAATAAATATTAAACTGTATATATAGACAGCACATAAGCAGAGTTGGGAATGTAATAATGTAATGTGTTACTTTTTGCACAAGTTAATTAATAACCATACATTTATTTAAGGTTACTTTTTTAATTTATGAAAACTAAATCATAAATATAAATTATAATGAATAATCCTGGGTATAATTAGAGACAAAATACTCTAAGCCCGTAAATTAAATTTGTGCGCCAACATTTATCAAGGCTCAATTTCTACTTTAATTCCCTTGTGCAAAGTCCATATATATAGGAGGAAAATTTACCCGTGAAAACGATGAATTTTCACGTAAAGCGTGAATAAAATAGGTTTTGTTGTTGGTTAATATAATCACGGGGTTAACTGAAAAGCAATTTTTTTTGTCTGCCTACCCTTGTTTGTAGCAATATCATTGTTTCACAACATTCAATGTATGTATGACGCTTTCAGGTTGAAAACGTGAGTCTGTGCTTGGGTGCCCTGCGGGCACTTGGTGCCGATGTTGGGGCTGTGAATCCTGGCGAATTAACAGCAGGATCAACTCTTCGACCCGTCCTCGCCCTTCTCTTTGCCCTCTCGAGGCACAAGCAGAGAGCAAAACAGCTTCAGGATATGCCTCGGTAAGCTCAATTCTATTTAAAAAAAATAAAATTGTCTTTTGAAAAAAATTTATCTTTATATCACGGTCGGTAAGTAGAATTTCTTGTTTTGATATATACCATCTGTTAGTAATTTTACTGCGGATAGTATATTCACCGTTGGATGATAATTCTGTTTTACCCTTGAACGATAACATTGCTATAAACGAGAAAAACTTCTTCTACCTACTGATGTTCCTTTTCATCATTATTAATGATACTACTCTGATGAATTGAATTTTTCAATTGTTTGAAAAAAATTCTTTTCTGTGAGTAAAATTAACCTTTTCCCATCTCAAGTTAAGAATTTGGAGGTTGTTTCTAGTGAAAGAATTCATTTAATTAAACTATTATTTTCAGAGAGTGGAGACATTTTTGTTTTCTTTTTCAATTTGTTGTACGTTTTGTAAAATGGAAATGAGTGCCTTGCACGATAAAAAAAAGTGCATGTTCGCGTGTTTCGATTCAGGATGAGAATTTTTACGGATGAACGCGAATATTCGCGACTCTTTATATTCTCTCCAGCGCTGTCGAATTGATAACGACGAGCTAGCAGGCAACGCGCTCATTAACGTCTCCGTTAATCAAGCTATATATATATAATGGACAAGTATATGTACATTTGAATATTATCCTGCGAGAGTACTAACACTGATTAAAGTTTTCCCTCTTTCCTGGCACTTGTTCTTGCGTCCAAAGGCGTAATCAACATTTTTATCCTAAACGAGATTTACGGCCAATTTTATATATTTTTAAACTTTTATCTTTACTGTTTTAGTATTCATATATTAAAATTATTGTTAATGAAACTAATTTTCTATTATTTATAATGTGTAGCACTTCAAGGTGAAAGGGACCTTAGCTGCAAACAAATTTTAGATTATGTTATTGGTTGTTATTTTTAATTGGGCTTTGTTACTAAAAATGTCTCGCGGTTTAAAAATATCTTGGCATTAAAGGTCTTATATTTTTCATTAGTTAGACCAAATATTATTGAATTTGCTTCGTTGATTTGATCACCTTATCAGGATTGTGTAATGAGATTCTTCTTGAACGTGCGGTCAAAAGAAACAGACTTTTATCTTTGCTTAATTTTACTGTTCCTTTTAGATATAAATATTGAATTTCTTTGTTCGTTAATTTTTCAAGATATGAAAATGAGAAAAAAAAGAAACAGAAAAATACAAAGAATTGGAGCATGGAGTGCCAGTGTCAGAAGAGAGAAAATATAAGTGACTGGCATTCATTATACCTAATGAGTCGTTTGATGATGACTTTCAAGAGATGATGTTGGGGCGAGAATAAGAATAAGAGTTGGTTTTAGAGGTTTAGGTCTTAGCTTTTCGTGGTAGCATTAACATATTAACAATGGTCCATTATGCCACAGAGGAGGAGTGAATTCAACTGACGTTATTTCAGAATACGATCACGTCATACTGCGCTTAACAAAACTATCATTTTCTTCAGATGTTTATACCGATACCAAATGAGAATTATTTACGCTCGTCTGTTTTCGTAGACGTGTGTAATGCTCTGCTTCGCATAATATATATCTTTATGGGATTAGGAGGATCTTCATGTTCTTAACTCTTTTCTTATATTCATTTTGGTCAAAAATGAAATTCATGTCCGAATATTGAGTGATGCTATTTTAATATTGCAGTCTACAAAATTAAATCAGTATATTGTGTGTCAATATTGGCCATGTCTTTAATAATGAACATTTATTATTATTTCATGTATATTATTGCTATAGAAAAGAGAATCCTTTATACACATTATTTCAACTCACTATGAATGTGCGACGAATGTGCCAAAGATCAAAAAAATTCAGATAAATATAATTTGTAGTAGAGATATTATTTATAGTCTCTCCTTGTGCATTTGTATTATTCATTCGTGTTTAGCATCTCACTGTAATATTGACTCTTGATGCCTGGTGCTTACCGAAACTTATCTGATTAGCATAAAAATGATTTCAAAAACGGATGTTGAATTGCTGGTCGAAGTTTGATTGGTGGCCTTTATGTAGGTGTCCCTACCATTGGTTGGACACGAGAAGAATCAAAGGGTGGGAGACTGCTGGAAGAGAAATGAGGAGGGTAGGACAGAGAATGAAAAGAGTGAGAGAGAAGTGGAGAGAACACGGTGTTGAGCGACCGAGGGTGACAGAAAGAGATGGGTAGCGTTCAATCTACATGGCCAGTTTCATATAAGAGACTGAGATAGTTATATGTATTCAGCTCGTGAATTTGTATTTGTATAAAGCGACGAGAGTGTCAGGACCAAAACCAGGGTCGGTTTTATGGGGGGTTTTACTAAAAAAAAATTTATTTCGATTAAATAATCAGTTGCTTGGATCTGTAAAAAATTTATTTCTTATTATCAATACTTGAATCAATTATTAGAGTTATCAAAATCATTTACTTATGTGAGAAAAATAAAAAAATGAGAATTAATTTAATTATAATTGAAATAAAAGACGATATACATATAATCTGAGTCAAAATTTAAGCCCTAAATAACCTCAAAAAACTTTTACAGAACACAAAAAGTAAAAAAATAATTCAATTCTGGGATTCAGATCATATTATGTAATATTTATTATAATAATAAATTGTACATATATTATATCTATTACATTGGAATAATCTATAAGCTGGCTAAATCATCGTTTATAATCATAGTACATATGCCAAGCGGAATCTATGTTTTTAATGTAAAATTCGTAAATATATACCTATATAAGAAAGAAAGGAAAGAGAACCAGGTGTTGAAATTATATTTCTAGTGCAAACAAACCTAGAGCCGATCCTGGCTTTGTGAAAGAGGGGGATACAAGAGAGAAAGAAAGAGAGGGTAAACGAACACGAGGGTGAGACACAGAATGAGATGGAGAGAGGAGCCACGTGCTATGGGAACGGGAATGGTAATGGTTCTCTCTTCTCGGGCCTTCAGTTTGAAACGGGCCATCAACGATGCCTACGCACCATGGCCATACCATGATTGCGATATGGCCTACCATGAGGTGCCATAAATTACTTATGACCACTCTATAACAATTTTTCTTCATACAAAAGAAAAACAGTTAAAAAAACGTGTTGTCTGTGAATACTTGTGCTCGTGAAAAAAATTTAAAATTTCTTCAAATTGTATAAACAAAACAAAAAAAATTTCTGTAAATTAGTAAAATCTTTTACGTAAAAAACGAAATTTTTTTTCTCTTAAATATAAATATTAAATAATTTAATAGAATACAAAATCAAATAATGATTGAAATTAAATTAAATAATTTTAATTTAATTAATAAATTAAATAAATATAAATTATATAATTAAATGAAAATATAGAATGGAATCTTAATTTATAAAATGATTATTGAAAATAGTCACAATTATATCATAAATGAATTATCATTATAAAGTTATAATTATATTTACATTTAATAACCATTTAATATTTTATAAATTATAAATATAATTTATAGTTTTATAAATGTAACTGAAAGTGATAATAAATAATTTTGATTCGACATATCATTTATTAATGCCTGAATACTGAAGAAAAATGTTGCGTTTTTTACTTATTTTTATGGGACGAGAATGAGGGAAGAAGGAAGAACATCTGACAAGGTGTTTCAGTGTGATGATTTTGTGATAAACCGTGCATTGTATGTTTTTGTTGGACGATTTTGATTTTGACAAAGGATTACTCAATTATGGGAAATAACGGAAGCAGCGGAAATTCTAGCAGGAAAGTCAGGAGTTTGCCTAATTCGCCGGAAGTTTATAGGTAAATGTAGCCGAATGATTAACATAAAAAACATATTTTAAAATCTTTGACACTGAAGTACAAAAAATACTCTAAATATTTCAAAAATAATTACTTACAGTTTTCATTCAATTTAAACACTTTTTCTCTGTTAAAACTTAAAAATAATAAACAGTCTGACACTATATTAAGCTCACTGATAAAAATATCGTTCACTTTAATTATATTAGTAATTTAATAATTGCGTCTTAATTTAACACAAAAATCAATCGTTGAGTAGTTTATTTATTCAATTCAACAATAATATTTTCACTAACTTTCATTCATTTTCCACATTATATTTCTACTTATTATATGATAATGTGCGACGAATTTGCGTTATTTAAAGAACAATTATGTTGATACATAAAATTGGAAAACTTATTTATAATTACAAAACTATAAAAATGGGTAAAAATAAAATATATAGAGACGTTGTTGTGTTAGCGTGTTTAGTTTTGGAATTATGCCTAAAACAGTTGTGGTAAAATATACGTTGTAGTTTATTTAGCATATAATATGTTACGCTTCACAGTCTTTGATGTTTCTAATAAAACTGTTTGGATTATGGTGCTTGGAAAACATTACAATTTACAATATTGTCACACAGAGGAAACATATTTCAATCAATATAATTGTAACAAATAGTGTATTTAAATCCATGGCTATGAGAGTCATTATACTTTATATATACCAAACATCTAATTGAGGCTACTTGAAACTTTATGCCATTTCCTCTGTAAAATATACAAGTTAGCAAAAAATATGTCGCGGATGTAATTAAACACCTTTCCGTCAACATTTTTTTTCAACTAGGAAAATTCCAATTTCACATGTCTCTTTAGACGCATATTTATTCGCAACTTTTTCATTATACCAAATTTCAAAATGGGAGAATCATGCAATTATTTTTTTTTTATTTGTAATTTATACGTATATACTCTTTTTAATGTTAAGTCTACTACGAAATAGTAGTTTTTACTATTTCTGGAGCAGTAAAATCCGGACAGTTTAGAATTTACTTTGGAAATAGTAAAAATTACTTTATTTTTGTTTTCCATTTTGCTCCGTGAAATAAATCATTAAAAGAATTATTATTTGAAACAGCAAAGGATAAATATATTTTTTTAGAAGAAATATGAGAATAAAACAAACTTCGTCAATGTATTATT